TGGGTATCCATCTATATATTATTTTATATGGACTACTCGAAATAATATACAGTTATTTCATACGTGATTTGGGAACAGTCAAACTGTTGGCTCGAGGTGGAGGAGATAGTGTTTTGAAATGTTGCCCAAGGCCATAGGCCGAGGGCAACAGTTGAAAACACTATCCCCGACACCAAGGGACAACTGTTTGACTGTTTCCTAAATCACATATGAAACAACTGTTTTATTACCTGATCAATTACTGTTTACAGTACTTGCAAAATGAAAAAAAAAAAAAGAAAACAGCAAAAAATACATAATTACATTTATATAAGGTATCAGATTATAAAAGGGGATAATGCATTTAAATGTTTTAACAGAATTACTAAACGGTAGTTTCATATATTAAGATAATGTGTTGTAAACGTAGGGCGACACTTACCAACGGGAGGTTGTATATTTGAGTCCTAGGTAATCGCGTTTTTGGTTCGCCTTCTACAAAATGGTGGCTGAAGTAATAAATTCTCCATCCTTTGTCTGCAAGTCCGTCCATTACAAAACTTTTCCGAACTACTTTTCAAAACTACTAATGCAATTTCATCCTCATTTTACAGAAAGAATAAATTATCTATTCAATACATTTTTGCATTTTCCAGTTCAATAATGTTTCGTCAGAGCTAGGTCCCTTTAATGATTTTTTTATGTTTGTCCGGACTACTTTTCCATTACCAGAAAAATGAAAGTTTATAAAGTTGTGTGGCAGCCTAAGTTCTTGCGCATATAAAACTGTGTTTCAGGTTAAATGAGTTTTGCTGAGTTATGGCCTTTGAAATAAAAAACGATTTTTTTTGCCGTTTTTTTTTTCATAATATCACTGACTTTGTGCCATTTATTTTTAGCTCTACTTCTCGGACAAAAAAAAAGTGGAGCTTTTGTCATAACCCTCTCGTCGGCGTAGGCTTTGGTGTGTAGGATTCGGCGTTCAGAAACTATAAAAGTTATACACGTATATTGTCTTTAAAGGACAAGATGGGCAAATAATAATGAAATTATTTTTTGCAAATTAAGGTTTCCTTTTAAACTTTTTTACCCTTGGTCAGCCTTTTTGTTAAGGTCCATTTACTCAGTAACTATCAAAGTAATTCACTTCAAACTATGTCCACTATCAAAACTGTAGACCATTAAAAAAGAACAGATAATCATGAGATTCATTATTGCAAAGTCATATCCCTTTTACAGGTTGAAGGCCTGTCTTAAATCTGTTTAACTTGCTGCAAAATGTACAGGGAAGAACTGAATAGAAGAAGAGTTTTATAGATCATTTTAAAATTGCAAATTGAAATCTGGAAATCTAAAATAAAATGTAAAGTAACGGATAGCATTTGTCATTCTAAGATAGTTCTAAACTAAAATGTAAAAGATAGTTCTTGCCATTATAAAATAAAATGTTAAGGATAGTTCTAAAATAAAATGGACAGCATTTTCTAGTTTAATTTCTCAGATATTTAAGTTATTCCTCCAACAAAACACTTTACTGATTTTATTTTCAACAATATCTGAAATTTAAATTTTGTCCAAGATAACTAGATTAATATCAGAACTTACCAGGTATCCTAACTATATGATTTTCAACAAGTGTCAAATATTTCATATGATTATTGATGTGTTCAATTGATACCATGCTTATAATTTTCATATATTTTTGCATATTGATCTAGCATTTATAAAAGTGATTGTCTACCGACTGCGTAGATGTTAGTGTTAGAAATCTTTAGAAGACTTGAATTGAACGCCGCCTTTCCTTGTTGATCTTGTCTATCATATTTGTTCAAGTACCGAACAAGTTCGTTTAATTAATAAAAGTGTTTCATTTTTAGCTCGACTATTCGATATGAATAAGTAGAGCTATTGTAGTCACCCGAGCGTCGTCGTCGGCGTAACCACTTATGTTAAAGATTTTGTAATACCTCAAATATTTTCAAACTCCATTGACATATGGCTTTGAAACTTTGCACACTTCATTGCCATTATGACCCCAACTTGTAAATTGGATCATCAAGCATTTTGACAGAATGATGCCCCTTTTTTTACTAAGAATTTACCTTTTAGTTTTTGTAATACCTCAAATATTTTCAAAGTCCATTAACATATGGCTTTGAAACTTTGCACACTTGTTCATCATTACCACCCCAACTTGTAGACAGGAGGAGGTAACTCTGTCAAGAATTTTAACAGAATTATGCCCCTTTTTCAACTTAGAATTTATGTTTAAGTTAATGTAATACTTTAAATATTTTCAATGTCAATTTACATATGGCTTTGAAACGTTGCATATTTGTTCATCATTATGACTCCAACCTGTAGACAGAAGGAGGTAACTCTGTCAAACAATTAAACATAATTATGCCCCTTTTTCGACTTATGTAAAGTTTTTGTAACATCTTAAATATATTCAAAGTCAATTAACATTTGGCTTTGAAACTTTGCACACTTGTTCACAATCATGACCCCAACCTGTAGACAGGAAGATGTAACTTCTATCAAGCAGTTTGACAGAATTATGCCCCTTTTACGTTTAAGTTCTTGTAATACCTTAAATATTTTCAAAGTCAATTGACAAATGGCTTCGAAACTTCACACACTTGTTCACCATCATTACCCCAACTTGAAGACAGGAGGAGGGTATCTGTATCCAGCATTTTGACAGAATTATGCTCCTTTTTCGACATAGAATTTACGTTAAAGTTTGTGAAATACCTCAAATATTTTCAAAGTCCATTGACATATGGCTTTGAAACTTTGCACAAGTGTCCACCATCATGAACATAACCTTTAGTCGTGAGGAGGTAACTTCATCAGGCATTTTGACAGAATTATGCCCCTTTTTACGAAGAATTAACGTTTAAGTTTTTGTAATACATCAAATATTTTCAAAGTCCATTGACATATGGCTATGAAACATTGAACATTTTTTCAACATCATGACTAAAACCTGTAGACAGGAGGAGATAACTGTATCAAGCATTTTGACAGAATAATGCCCCTTTTTCGACTAAGAATTTACGTTTAAGTTTTTGTAATACCTCAAGTATTTTCAAAGTCAATTAACATACATGTATGGCTTTGAAACTTTGCACACTTGTTCATCATTACGACCCCAACCTGTAGACAGGAGGAGGTAACTCTGTCAAGAATTTTAACAGAATTATGCCCCTTTTTTGACTTAGAATTTATGTTTAAGTTAATGTAATACTTCAAATATTTTCAAAGTCAATTGACATATGGCTTTGAAACTTCGCACACTTGTTCACCATCATAACACCAACCTGTTGACAGGAGGAAGTAGCTGTATCAAGCATTTTGACAGAATTATGCCCCTTTTTGACTTGGGATTTTCGTTTTAGTTCTTCAAACACCTCAAATATTTTCAAATCCATTGACATATGACTTTAAAACTTTGCACACTAGTTCACCATCATGACCCCAACCTGTAGACAGGTGGAGGTAACTCTATGAAGCATTTGGCAGAATAATTCCCATTTTCAACTTAGAATTTATATTTAAATTTGCATACCACCTCAGATATTTTCATATATTCTATTGACATATGGCTTAATTACTAAATGAAATTTTATACTCTTCAGTTGGGGCATATTATGACTCTTTCAAAGGCCTATTACTGTAACATAGATTTAAAGAAAAAATTTGCCCTTTGGATAACGTAATTTTTTTTTACATTATCCAAGCTCTTTTTCTATCAAGCATTAAGAATAGTCGAGTGTTGCTGTCCAACCGACAGCTCTTCAAGATTAATAGCCCCACAAGAAATTATAATTATGTCATTGTTATGCAAGCTATGCTACCATTTCTCTGTTTTTTGCATGGAACACGGAGAACTAACACATGCAAGTTAGCCAGTTTTTCTTTAGCCGAGTATTTTAGTAAATAAATTATTGGTAATCTTTTTTTAGTTTTTAAATCCAAATACAATTATCATTAAATTATGCCCCCTTTTGGGGGTTCATTTCTCAAAAAGCATCCATTTACGTTAAACTTCGTGTCGTTGTTCAATATCAGACTTGAAAAGCATTTGTAGGGGTTGATATAATCCTGAAAGCCTTAATGTTTAATTTATTATTTCCCTCGTATGACTTAGAGTATTTGCCATTTTCTCAAATACAATTGAAGGTATTCCCTTCACACTGGAAATATTTGATGATTGACTGAGACAGGCAAGTAAGTCTGTTAATCACGACTGCAGAATATTGCCCTTTTTTTTCAAGTTGTTTTTATTTTACTATCCTTCGCTGGCAAATGTGGAGTGCGCTGTCCGCGGACATTTCTTGTTTGATTTAAGTTTTCATTTGAACAAAGTGCCATATTAATTTATATTTGTCAGTTGCATTTACCGGTAAATGTCGTTAGTTTAACTATATTTTAAGTATATTTTACTGGACGATTGTGTACAAAAACGACGTTTGTATACATCAAGTATAGTCAAATTATCAAAAGAAAATATAAACACTTAAATTATACAAAAAGAAATACTTTGCGATCTTGTAGGGCAAACTATTACACCATTTTTTACCAAACCATGTCCATATAAATTAAAACGTCGTAAACATGTGCTTTAGATTCTAATATCATTAAAAATAGTTAAAACATATAGGACATTAACAATGACAAAACCTATATAGTTATTATTTATGGAAGCAACCGTATAATGAGTAAGCTAGCAACCATGCAGTCAGAAACCAACACTGGTGGCAATTTCTTTGTTATTTTTCCTAAACCACTGTTTGTACACCTATTATTGATTAATTTTCTGGAGCTCAAATGACTATTTTTCAAAGTGTCAAGAGTATATGAATGTATATGCTAATTTATTATAAGTTAAGCAGGAAGTTGTTGTTCAAAGTCAATTAGAAAGAAAATGTTAGGAACCCTTTCCGGAAAATACAGTTTTTACAACAAAACTTATCACAGAAATATATGTCATGTAACTCCTATAGTAAACGAAAGTGGTATTGCATTAATCTTTATTGAAATATTTAATCCATTTTTTTAAGTTGAAATCAGTAGTTTACATTTTATTACTTTATTTGTGATAGTTCGATTCAACTCGACACATCAAACAAATTGTGTTGTAAGCAAACTGTTGATAAGTAGATTACACTTATATACACATTTCGCATTACAGTTAAAAAAACAACACAATTCACATAAGCCAGGGAGACACAGTGACACTCCTTGTGAATAGAAATAAGGCCTTAACTGAACTTGACGAAAGAACAGCAGAAACATTGCGTAAACTTGATGAGAAGGCATTGGCTGTTCAAAAAGAAGAAGCTGCAAAACGAACAGAGATGAAAGGTAAATAATTCATCTTTTATAATTTTAAATAATAACATGATGTTTTCTTCTTAAGTAAAGTTATATATATTAAGTTATTGAGATTTAAAGTTATGTTAGTGCTTATGGCTTTCACGTACTATGCTGGTACTAACAGAACTGTCAACGATTTAGCTGATTTTGAGTATAAGGTAAAAAGATAACATCATTATTTGCATGTTGATCAGAAGCCCGTGTAAATGTTACATTGTTAAGCTAGCTGAAACTGAGTGAGGTTTTATATAAAAAAACTTATTTTTATTGGAAAAGAACAATAAATATCTTAACAAATTGATTATTGCCCAAAATTAATTTCATGAATCATAGATTGATTTAGAAAATTGTCAAAATCGATGTACTGCTGAATTAATTTAAAAGAATACTAACATAGAATATTAAAAGTTATAAACATTAATTATTGCAAAGTAGTTTGTTTTAAACATCCGCCAGAGAAAATACAAATATATTATTCAAATATAAACTATCCTACTCTGTTATGCTAAATAAAGATTTTAAAGCGGCGCCGAGATGTCCTTTCCGAAATCAAGAAAATCCTTTTCTTTTACACATATTTGCAATCTTTAATAAGGCATTGTTCAGATATACTTGAAGCTTTTGTTCTTGAATTCATATAAGTGTGGTTTTAAAGACGGTGCTAGGGGGCGTTAGGGATGTTGCACTTATTCATTATCTCTCATGTACATACTCATTTAAACCGAGTCTGCAATTTTCGTGATTAATGCTTCCGAAGGATCACTTTGCTTCCAGACTTTTATACTTCACAACAGCAGGTGTTAAGTGCTGTGTGGCAGCTGTAAAAAGTTGCCGCGTACTTCACTTCAGTGTTGTTATATTTTTCTGGTCCTTTGGGATCATTGATGCAAGCACAATTAAGTGTTGAGAATTGAGTACCGCTCAAGCATGTGTTATAGGGCATGAGGGATGCTGCACTCATTTATTATATCTCAAGTACAGACTCAATCAAACCGAGTCTGCAATTTCCATGTAATTAATGCTTCCGAGACATCACTTTGTTTCCAGATTTCAGAGAGAAAAAAGAACTCGATAACGAACTTTGAAACAAAAATTTTAATAGTTCTAGTTAAGTATTTTTTTATTTTATTTGATAAAAGAGTTATAAGAATTGATCAAGAAATAAAAAGAAAAGTAGTGGCGACATTTTTTCTTACTGAATTTCGGAGTGTGGTTTTCAGAAGGTAACCTGACTTGGCAACGAAAAATTAAATACTTCTTCCTATTTCATTTTCAATTTTAATTAAGACACTGCTATAAACCTTATGAAGCAATCTTTTATTTGAATCCAAAATGATCAAAACTGATTTAGAAGCAAAAACATGTTGGAGGGGACGCCGTGTATTTCTTACGTATCGATTTCGAGAGGAAAAACTTATACACTTTGAAACAAAAAAAATAAAACATTTACTTAATTCATTTATATTTCTAAAGTTTATGAAGTAATCTTTCATTTGATACCAAAATTATCAAAATTGATTATAAATAAAAAAAGAAGGGGCGCCGTGATTTCATTGTTTATTGAAACATACGGGAGAGTGTCCAGAAGTTCGTAAATATTCAGTGAAAGAAAGGCGGGGCGTCATGCTTGACTTAAAATCGTTTAAATTTGTGAATCTACATTTGTCATTTTTGCACTTTTAGCTCACCTGTAACTGATCTTTTGTGATCGCAATTAAAGTAAGAAAAAAACGTCAAAAATCAAAATCCTAACCCAATGAGCTAGAGCTTAAATATGTCACACAAAATATCTTCGAGTGGCTCTCTACAAAGTTTGTTAACAAAAAGCCCTGGGGTCAAAAGTGGCATGCCCAAGCGTCATTGATTTTCCTTATATGCAAGATCTTCATCTTTTATACTATAAATAAAGCTTACACATTTGGTATGAAACATAGCATTCATTGTCTGGGGGGCCTCTACAATTTTTTTTTAAATTATAGCCTTTTTATCATCAAAATCTGCCCCTTATAGAAACAATTGGCTTCACGTAGTATCCATTGACTAAAATAGCACTCCATGAATTCCTATTGCAACTATAAATATCCATAGCAACCAATGACTTTCCATAGCAAACACTGACTTCCATAGGAACCACAGATTTCCATAGCGACTATTGACTTCCATAGCAACCATTGACTTTCCATGGAGACCATAGACCTCTTAAGCAACCAGTTATTTTTCTATAGCAACCAGTGCCTTTTCATGGCAACCATTGATTTTCCAAAGCGACCTTTTAGTATTTGTTCAACCATTGATAATTCATAGCAATCATTAGCCTCAATAACAACCACTAACTTGCCATAAAATATCAGTGACTTTCATAGCAACCAGTGACTTTACAAAGCAACCATTGATTTTCCATACCAACCATCGACTTCCATAGCAACAATTGACTTTCCATAACAATATAGACGTCCATAGCAACCAGTGACTTTCTATTGCAACCATTGACTTCTATAGCAACAAGTAACTTTTCATGGCAACCATATACTTTAAAAGAAACTAGTGACATCCCATAGCAACCAAAGACTCTCATAGCTACCATTGACTTTTCATAGCAACAATACACTTCTTTAGCACCAAACCTCTTTTCGTATCAACAAGTACCTTGTCAATGCAACATTGGACTTTCCATACAAACCAGTAACCTATTTTGCAACCATTGACTTTCCATTGTAAACACTGAATTTCCATAGCAACCACTGATTTTCATAGCAATCACAGTCTTCCATAGCAACCGGTGACTTTCTGCAACAACCCATTGACTTCATAGCAAATAGTGACTTCAAATAGTAATAAGTGACTCTCGTGGCATCCATTAATTTTCCACAGCATCCACTAGGTTTCCACAGTAATTATTGACTTTCTATAGCAATCATTGACTTCATTAGCAACCAGACACTTTCCATAGCATCAATTGGCTTTCATTAGAACCAGTGACTTCCATAGCAAACAATGAGTCACATAGCAACCATAAATTGTCAATGGCAACTGATGATTCACATATCAAGTGTTTGCTTTCCATAACAGCAATTGGCTTTCATAGCAACCAGTGACTAAATAGCAGTAATTGTCTTTGCAATAGAAACAAGAGACTTGGCAAACATTTACTTTTTACATAACAGCCAGTGGCCAGTGGCTTTGAGCAAACATTCTTTCTATAACAACGAGTGACTACCGTTGAATTTTATAGCAGTCACTTTGGAGATCATTTATTTTGTATAGAAAACAATGACTTCTTTAGTAACTATTGTTTTCCCTAAGCAATAGCAACCAATATAGTTTTTACACATGCACTATTTCAGATACGAATATGAACATTGTGTTATCAAATTAAGATTTTTATAATATATCTGCTTTCGTTTACAATATAACTTTTGCCTTGTCATTAAAAGTATTTAGGTGAGCGATATAAGGGCAATAATAGCCCTTTTGTTCATTATCCCTCATGTATATCGGCAATTCTAACACTCCACGTGATTTTGTCACTATAGACAAAGAAGAAGAAAAACGGTGTTAAACTGCCAATAAACACTGGTTAGGGGCTACTTGTATATGCGGCTGTTATGTTTTCACCCTCGATTATATAGTTTATAAAGCCTTTTAAAGCAACAATAAAAACATTTTTATTTATATTTTCAGTTCTTATAATGTTTTCTTTTCACACAATACCGAAACAATATCTCACATACACTAACACCACATATTTGATCCATATCAGTTAATAAATATTTTGAAGAAAAAAAAAACGGCGCCAATTCGTAAGCAGTGTTATGACGTCATCCTAAGAATACACCTCATTCATAAACGCTGACGTCATTTCATACATAAAGAATGATAAATGGGGCACTGATGTAAACACAATAAAATACATTCTAAGACGCAAGTTTTTATTGTTGAAAACTTGATAAAATAACGTTTTCTTTTATATAATTTCTTTTGTTTAATAATTTCTATATCTGTGTGAAAATCGAACAGCGTACGCCCTACGGCCTTCGTAGTCAATTCAGACGCATCAAAACTCCAAACTCCGGTGTTAAATAGTCGATAAACACCGCTAAGACCGATATTATTTCTTAATAAAACAAAGTCTGCAGTGTTCATGTAGTTTTGTGTGTGATTTAAGCTTCCGAGGGAACAGACTGCATCCAGATCTTTTAACGTTCATAACAAATTATCGTCGGGTGTTCTAAATTCGTCCTTATCCTAGAGTCAACACCCTTCCTTTGTATGTCAGAAAGTCTCAACAAATTGTCCTTAACAGAGAAAACAATTGGATATTTTTAACATCAAAGTAAATTTAACGTATCTGCCAAATTTCTTCAACATAGCATGTTTGGAGCATTTGAAATTAGAAATAGAAAAAGAAGCACTGTAAATTGCTAAGGGTGTCACCGTGGCAAATTGGCCACCCGAGCATAAATTAGAAAAATTGCTTTACTATCTCTTTGTAATTAAATTTTATAAAATCAACATGTTTCAACTTCATACAAAGTATATATGTTTTGTTTTAAAATCTACACACTAAAGGAGGCCACAATATGAATATATATTATCATTAAAAAACTGGCAGTGTTAATTTTTTTCTTTAAGAAAATGAAATTGAAGCTATAAGGAGTACGATAATGAATTTTATATATATTAACTTGAACTCCATGATACCGGTGGCTCCACGGTACCGGTGTATTCGCATATCTTGCGATATCATTGTCAACGCCATCTACCGAGCGTTTATATGGACATGTTTTAGTTATTTTTGCTATTTCAACGTTTTTATACATATTAATGAGTTTCAGAAGAAAATATTTCTTATATCCTACCTTATTACCTTACCGGACTATAGATTAATGGAAACGAAGCTATATGGGGTTATATGGCAATTTGATACAATTTGATATAATTATTTGGACTCTGGAAATGAAAATAAAAATTCGGCAATATGTTGTTAG